GAGTTTCAAAAGCCATTATCTGCCTGGTTTCCTTGAGCCAGGTTACCTCATTTCTGTAAAGTTTACTTTTCTTAGTAGACAATTAAAAAAAAATCCCAACAAGAGTGACAGACTTTCGTTCTATGTGTGAGAACTGCTGGCAATGAAAATTGGATGGTTTTGTTTTTATCTATTTTACTAGTTTTGTTTCTTGGATATGTAAGAGAAATGAAGAGCTCTAGAGAAAATTCAAGGAGGGTTACCACTTCACTTTTCCTCTGTGTTAGTGAATAAATGCTACAGGAGCTTTCAGATATTTAATAAACTACATTTTCCAGCTATAGATCAGAGCACATCATTCTTTAAACTATCACACAACTGTTTTTTGGACTCCTTTAGTGATGTTCTTCAGATTTCCTTGTGTTGGTTTCTTTCTGTTTTTGTTGTTGTTCTTAAACATTTCAACCAATACCTTTCCTAATCTGTGAGAATTACCTTCTAGGGGAGAACAAAGAAACTTAACGTCTCGAACATGGAAATGATGGTGTGTAACTGATTTTGCTATTCCAATCATCATAGGGGTCAATTGAAAAACAATTAATGATTTAAAAAAATTCACTGCACAACACACAGCATGGTAGATGCAGAGGGAATCTTTGTGAAAATAGAACTTGGGTTTGAAATAACACAAGGTGTACAGGATCTGAGTCATCCTTGTAGGGAAACAATAGCTGAATAGAGAGTACATGGAAGAAGAGCTTGAGTTAACCGTTCTATTTAGTGTAATCCAATGACTCCAGTGGAGCATGAGGGGGGCTTCCTCCCCAACACATCAAAAGTCCCAAGAAACCACACTGAAATGTACCTGATATACACTGAGTTGCCTGTAGAACATCAATTGGTTTTACTTCTAAGTGAGAATCATTTAAGAGATGATGCACAGATGTTGGAATCGCCAGCTACCTGTATTTTAATTTGTTGAAAGCACTCTGCACGGTACATTTTAATTTATATTCATCCCTGTCTCTTGTGATGTTTCTGGGAGGAGAAACCTCCAGTGGATTGTGTTTAATAATGAAATGTGCGATTAAATACAGCCATGCAAGTTAATTTGGAAGGGCACATGGGCATGCATGCGTTGAGCATTGCCTTAATTCCTGTTGACTGGGAACATAGGATAGAATGAGTGTGTTGGGTCGTGATAATAAATTAGTATTCAGATGTTTAGTAATTTGACTTAGAGAGCCATCAGGGAAAGCTCACAGTTCACAGACCTTGGGCCAAAGTGTAGCTCCTTGATACTGGTGAGTAACTGGACTTCATCTTCACTTCATGCAGCATTGGCCATATGCTGTTAACCATAACCCATGTGTGTTAGCCATGTGTGATTCTGTTTTAAGTAATTTTGTTTTAATGGAAACATAACTTTGCAAGTTTTAATGTGGAATTAGTGGTGTAATCCAGAGTTGCAATCTTCCTTCCTGTGAAATGTGAAGGCAACAGTGTGGTGGTGATCTCACTTCTTTCCCTTTTGGAGATTGATGTAGAGAGTTAGCCCTTGTATGGGGAGAGTTAAGGTTTTCTCTTGTCTATTTGATTACCTAACATTGATGCGTACCTGAGTAGATGAGGTAAATATGTGCATGAGAACTGAGTTCCGCAGGGTGACCACCATGAGGACATACCAGGTGTTCATCATATTGTCTCTGCTTGTTGCACTAGTCACATTTGGGGCTAGTCTAGCCTTCTGTATTATCCTTCAGCATCCTGCCTGGTATTTGTTCCCACCACAGGACATTAGTGCCTGCTTTTCTCTCCTCATATCTTAGTTCTCAGCATTTCTCATGGCTGCAGTTTGGTCTTCACCATTCTGAATGGAACATAAAATCCTTTCTTGTTAAAGTTAGTTGCAATTTTTAACTGCTGACTCCTGGCAACTGTCATAAATAAATTTTACAGAACGTTTTCCAGGTCTTGGCTTCTGTGAGAGCTCTTACATCTTTTACTCCCCCCATCCTCTTATTCTTCCTCCTTTTTCCTCCTCCTCATCCTCATCATTTTAGATCTCTTTCTTTGCTTAGCGTCTACAATTGAGTGATCCTGTGGGTTAGGCCATTTCTGTATGTTAGTTTGTGGGCATTTGCTCGTTTCAGCCTGTAACTCCCAACTTGGAAGCTTCCTTGGAGGTCAGCTCCTGGGGCTAACTGTCCTCAGAGTATCTACATCTAGAGCATCCAAGTCATCTAAAACCCAAACTATCCCAAAATAAACATTTTCTCTTTGGTGTTGCCTCCCTTGTATTCCATAATTCATGTAGTACTATTTGTATTTGCCTGTCACTCAAGTTAGAAACCTACAAATTGTCTTACACTGAGAAAACTTTTTATTTTACCTTTGTTTCTGGAAAAAAGTTTGTTGCATTTCTCTCTCTCTCTCTCTCTCTCTCTCTCTCTCTCTCTCTTTCTCTCTCTCTCCTTCCCTCCCTCCCTCCCTCTGTGTATTAGGCACTATACAGGAGATTATGGGAGTCAAGTGGTTCCAAGATACTTAAGTCTCCCTGTCCACCAAGACATCAGATGATGTCTGTACTCCTTCTCCCAGCCTGCCCAAGCAAGAACATTGCAGGAACAGTATAAGGACTGCTGTCCTCGGCCAGGCATTTTCTTTCTCTATGGTAGAACTAGAGCAACAATCAGTATCCTGAATCTTTTCCAGCATATTTTAATATAAATAATCTTGGCTCTAGCCATCAGTAGACATACTAATTACTTGTTTGCACGTGCATGGCCAGTTTCTAGCTCACTTGGGGACTTATAATAACTGGATTTTATCTTTTGTGAGATGATAACATGGGAATCACATCTTTTTCAGAGTCCAAGTTTTAAGGCACTTTGGGATATGTTTTATAATCACACATGATTTTCAAGTCCAGGCAAGAACCTAACATTATAAAGCAGGTGGATTCTCATATAGACTTGATAGAAAGCAGTCTTCTCTTTTACTAGTGGCATACACTTGATTCGAGAAGAAAGGCTTATATAAAAAAGCCATTCTTGCAATGGCAGTTTGTTCTCATAGATAAGTGGCATCTCAAGCTAGGAATGTAGTGTCAGACCATGGAGAACATTACTGTGATTGCACACACAGGGTTGAAGAACCAAATGTACATTTCAAGGAATTCTGATTCCCCATTTCCAGTTTCCTGGGAACTTCTGCAGGTTCTATGACTCTTCTGACAACAATTATACCCGGAACATGATCTCATATAAAACATTTTTAATATGAAGTTCTCACTAGTCTAAAAGGTTAGTCAAATGGTTAGCTTGAAAGCTGAATAATAGTCCAATTTACCCCCACAATTTGGTTTCTTTCTTTATTTTATTTGGTAGATTAATCTCATTTAGCAGTGTCATTAGGGTCCTGCTTGGATGGGGTTGGAAAAATACACACAAACATCTGATATTTCTGAGCATGTGGGCTGTGATGAATTTAAATGTGTTCTAGTGGAGTATTTGTGTTGAAACAGCTGAAGATTTATCTTTAAAAAAAAAACTTAAGAATGGAGGAAATTGACCACTATGGGATAATTAAAAATAGCAACTCTCTGGGAAAGCAGGAGCCAAGTTTTCAAATGCTACAAAACTATGGGGCAGTATTCTGTAACCCAAACTGGGTAATTTATACCTGTGTCACTTGAAGATCTGATATGTAGTTGAGTCAATGAATCATCCGACCAGCATGCCATAACTAAAGGAAAATTTATTTGCCTTTTGCCTGCAGAGTTTTAGCCAATTAAATAATAAATCACTCGGCATTTACAGAATTTAGGATTGACAGGCTGATATGGGCTGGATGGATTAGATGACGCTATTACCCCAGAGGGCAGGTTCTATACTGTTTTAGAAGGTGCCAGCAATGAGACAGCCCGGATTGTGTTGGTTATAGTTTTCAGTGCTGAAAGTGGTGATAGCATTAGGTTGTCTCAAAATATTTTCAACTTAATGTTGAAGGTTTCACTTAAATACTGAGGAGTCAAGCATGAGTTAACTTCTTGCTGACTCCCAATCTTCCAGTGGATGCCTGTGGATAGCCCTACAGGCACAGCCAAAAAAGAAATATAATCTCCAGAAGATAATCTTTATAAGGGCTTACCATTTGCAAAGCAAATGGGCATGAGCATGAGCTTTTCTCTTTTGAATATTATGATAACACTGAATATTAATAAAAACATTATGCATTCAAATCTTATTTGAGAATAGAATTTAAAATCCAGAGAGGTTAAGTGTATATATATATATATATTGAGTTGATTTAAAAAAACGCAAGGATTATTATTTTTGCCTTGAAGATAATGTCTTTTGAAGCATTCATCCTCCTATCATGTTGGTGTGATTATGAGATCTAGTACTCTAAGCACATTAATTGTGCATTTTAGAAACATTTTCCTGGGAGAATAGTTTGAATGAGTAATGTAGTTGGGAACTTTATTAAACTTCATTAAAATGAAGAATCATCCAGTTTTAAGTGGAAGGGGTCAGATGCTCAGTGCAAATGAGTTTGGCAGCAACAGGTACAGTAGACAGTCCAAGACAAAGATGAAATCCATCATCTTGCAATAATGAGGACAGGATGTGCAGTTCAGGAGCGATGATAAGTGAGAAGGGAAGAGCCTTAGGACTCATGTAACCTGCTGAACACAGCCTGGTGGGTGCTCTCTGGTTTGCTGTTGGTAGAGGTTCTTAAGAAACTGTACCTAGCACAGCTTCAGATGAGCTGAAGCTAGGTTTTGTTCTTAGTATTTATTTAATTTGGAGCATTTGTAAATGAAGTTTCCTTGGGAACCCAGTGATATTCTCTCAGTAATCTATCTTCCAAAACAGTGCAAAGGGAAATTTCAGGCTAGCTTCTGTTCAGATAACCAGACAATCTTTACAGAGTTTGAGAAGTTTCTAGAGTGTTACCGAATTTGCGTTTTCTAAAAGAGATTGATCTTTTTTTTTCTGATTGTTTTCTAGGATCCTTCCAACCAGAAATGTGGTGGAAGAAAGAAGACAGTGTCTTTCAGCAGCATGCCTTCAGAGAAGAAGATTAGCAGTGCCCATGACTGCATCAGCTTCATGCAGGCTGGCTGTGAGCTGAAGAAAGTGCGGCCCAACTCCCGCATCTACAACCGATTTTTCACCCTAGACACAGACCTCCAGGCTCTACGCTGGGAACCTTCCAAGAAAGATCTTGAAAAAGCCAAGCTGGACATTTCTGCCATCAAGGAGATCAGACTGGGGAAGAACACGGAGACATTCAGAAACAACGGCCTTGCTGACCAGATCTGTGAAGACTGTGCTTTCTCCATACTCCACGGGGAAAATTATGAGCCTCTGGACCTCGTTGCCAATTCGGCAGATGTAGCAAACATCTGGGTGTCAGGGTTACGGTATCTGGTCTCGCGCAGTAAACAACCACTTGATTTTATGGAGGGGAACCAGAACACACCACGGTTCATGTGGCTGAAAACTGTGTTTGAAGCCGCCGATGTTGATGGGAATGGGATAATGTTAGAAGACACTTCCGTGGAGTTAATAAAACAACTCAACCCTACTCTGAAGGAATCTAAGATCAGGTTAAAGTTTAAAGAAATCCAGAAGAGCAAAGAAAAGCTAACCACCCGGGTGACAGAGGAGGAATTCTGTGAAGCTTTTTGTGAACTTTGCACCAGACCAGAAGTATATTTCTTACTTGTACAGATATCTAAGAATAAAGAATATCTAGATGCTGATGACCTCATGCTCTTTTTGGAAGCTGAGCAAGGGGTCACCCACATCACTGAGGATATGTGCTTGGACATCATTAAGAGATATGAACTTTCTGAAGAGGGCCGTCAGAAAGGGTTTCTTGCTATCGATGGTTTTACCCAGTATTTATTATCTCCAGAATGTGACATTTTTGATCCAGAGCAAAAGAAGGTTGCCCAAGATATGACCCAACCCTTATCTCATTACTACATCAATGCATCCCATAATACCTACCTGATAGAGGATCAGTTCAGGGGACCAGCAGATATCAATGGGTATGTGAGGGCTTTGAAAATGGGCTGTCGAAGCATTGAGCTTGATGTGAGTGATGGTTCAGATAATGAGCCCATCCTTTGCAATAGAAACAACATGGCAATGCACCTTTCCTTTCGAAGTGTTCTAGAGGTGATTAATAAGTTCGCCTTTGTTGCATCAGAGTACCCACTCATTCTCTGCTTGGGGAATCACTGTTCTCTGACACAGCAGAAAGTAATGGTCCAGCAGATGAAAAAGGTGTTTGGCAATAAACTCTATACAGAAGCGCCTTTGTCATCGGAATCCTACCTCCCATCACCCGAAAAACTAAAAAATATGATCATTGTGAAAGGAAAGAAATTGCCTCCAGAGTCAGATCTGTTGGAAGGAGAAGTGACTGATGAGGATGAAGAGGCTGAAATGTCCCGGAGGATGTCGGGGGATTACAATGGTGAACAGAAACATATTTGGCTCTGCCGGGAGCTCTCTGATTTAGTATCCATCTGTAAGTCTGTCCAGTACAGGGATTTTGAACTGTCTATGAAAACCCAGAATTACTGGGAAATTTGTTCATTTAGTGAAACGGAGGCCAGCCGAATCGCAAATGAATACCCGGAAGATTTTGTGAATTACAACAAGAAGTTCTTATCAAGGATCTACCCCAGTGCCATGAGGATAGATTCCAGTAATTTGAACCCACAGGACTTCTGGAACTGTGGCTGTCAGATTGTTGCAATGAATTTTCAGACTCCGGGTCCAATGATGGACCTCCATACTGGCTGGTTTCTTCAAAATGGAGGGTGTGGCTATGTTCTGAGGCCATCTATCATGAGAGATGAAGTTTCGTACTTCAGCGCAAATACAAAGGGCATTGTACCTGGAGTGTCTCCTCTGGTCCTTCACATTAAGATAATCAGCGGTCAGAACTTCCCAAAGCCCAAGGGAGCTTGTGCCAAAGGGGATGTCATAGACCCCTATGTTTGTGTAGAGATTCATGGAATTCCGGCTGATTGCGCTGAGCAAAGAACTAAAACTGTACAACAAAACAGCGATAATCCCATTTTTGACGAAACGTTCGAGTTTCAAGTCAACCTTCCTGAGCTGACCATGGTCCGTTTTGTTGTTTTGGATGATGACTACATTGGGGATGAGTTTATAGGGCAATACACGATACCATTTGAATGCCTGCAGCCTGGGTACCGGCATGTCCCTCTGCGCTCCTTTGTGGGGGATATCATGGAACACGTGACCCTTTTTGTCCACATAGCAATAACCAATCGAAGTGGAGGAGGAAAAGCCCAGAAGCGCAGCCTTTCTGTCAGAATGGGGAAGAAAGTTCGAGAATATACCATGCTCAGGAATATCGGTCTTAAAACCATAGATGATATCTTCAAAATAGCAGTTCATCCATTACGAGAAGCCATAGACATGAGAGAAAACATGCAGGTAGGAAAACAACCCCATCTTCCCCCATTGCCTCTGTTATTCACACCCATTTAAACGAGTGACCGTTGTGGTTTACTAATGGTTGGTTTGCAAACGTTCAGAAACACTGTGTAGATCCACGCACCACTGAATTATGCTCCCTGTCACCTGTGATAAGCCAGGTGGTTTCTAATTGTGAATGCAAGGCTGAGTTTGGCCATTTAGTAACATAACAAAATGCTGGTTATCTTTTCAGTATGTTTAGCATGTAATAATTGATGGACAGGAATGTGTACATGAACAGTGTGGAAAAAGTGAAACACAAAATGTGTAAGTAGAGGCTGGGACATGGCTCAGTGAGTTGGAGCATTCGCTAAGCAAGAGGACCTAGGTTCAAACTGTCAGTATCTACATAAAAAGTTGTGTGTGTGTGGCTGAATGTACCTGTAACCCCCTGCTGAGTGTGGTGGAGAGACAGGAAGGAGTCTGGGGTCTGCTGGCTAACAGTCTAGCTGCAGGTTCAGTGAGAAACCCTGTCTCAAAGGAGAAGGGTGTAGAGTTATATACATCAGGAGATCCTGCGTTCTGCTCTGATACCTGTGTGGGACATCCTTACCTATCTGATACACACACACACACACACACACACACACACACACACACACACACACCCTCATGTGGGTAACATATAAAATACATAACCAGAAATATATATGTGATTTGAAAGCATATATGTAAAATAGTTACTGATATGAATATAGAAGAGAATTAGAAGTCATGTTATAAAATGATGTCCACTATATTTTTAGTTATTTAGGTGTGTACTAACAAGTTATTACCCAACAAAAGAAAACACAGCTAAACAAATAAAACCTGACACTTAAATATTTTAAAAATATATTTAGCCTCCTATAAAAGTAACTTAATTGAAAGAATGTGGATACTGGTGTAAATCTGTCCTTGTGTGGACCTGAGCAGATAACTGGCAGTGTCTTACCAGTTTTTCTGCATAAAGCAGGACCATGAGGGCTGATGTGAAGAGTGGGAGCATGTAGTAATTGTCCAGCGTGCCTTTTCTTTCCTTGTGATGCATAATCAGAGATGGTTACAGACTTCTTTTTCACATTACTTAATATAGTTAACTAGGGATAGTATTTTAAAGACATGAGCAGACAAGTATTCACAGAGATCTTATGTTAGAAAGTAAAAATTATTAAGATTTTATTCCTTTAGCTAACATTTTCATAATAATACTAACCCACCCAGAAGCTTTGCAATCAAGAAAGCCGACCCATTAGAAGACATTATTTATCAAATCTTGCAGTTAATAAACAACAAAGTTAGACATTAAAACCTGGAGTGACTAATGCCAAAATCCATTATAATTCATATGAAGCAGAACCACTGAGCTGTGACTTAGTAAAATCTTAATATTAACTCACAGAGAAGTTCTTCAAATAGCCCAATGGAGGGAAATAGTATGATGCAAAACTCACACGTGAGTGCCTATAGTCAGATTACACATGTATTTGACTCATTTGTTAAAAATAGGCTCCAAATATGTTGTTATATTCTATATAATCTTTTCTTACACATATTTGGCATTATTGTAAAGCCCAGTGTTAGATTACCTATAAGTGAGTTCTAATACCTTGCTGTATTAGAAGTTGACCCTATGCGTTTCTGTGTAATTCTTGAAAAACAGCCATTAGCTCATATTTTTAGAATACATCTTAAGAAGAGTATTTGGCTGGGGTGATGGCTCAGCCAAAAGAGTACTTGCTGCACAGGCACCAGGCCTGGAGTTTCAATCCCCAGAACCCACTTAAAAGGTGGGTGCATGCGGTGGAGCCTCTTGTAATCACAGAACAAGCAAGAGACCAAGACAGGGGGTCACTGGAGTAGGATGGTGGGCTAGGTGACCTAAACCCAGGATTTCTGGATCCAGTGAGAGACTCTGCCTCAATATATAAAGTGATCTGAGAAGACACCCTAGTCTCTCCATGCATGCCCCCCACATGCCTGCATACATGTGTGACCACTCATAGAAACACACATGCACACATGTATGCACATCACAAACACATACACAAAAGAAGAGCAATTTATAAAGCTTTTGCAGGCAATTTTAATAATTCATGATTTAATAATTCATGATACCCTAACAAAGTAGTTTGGGTAAAGGATTATTTAGAGGGTAAGCTGTAAAAAAAAATAAAAATACCGCAGTAATTAATAATTTCATGAGACATTCAGTAGGTTGGATGATGTTCATTATTAATAAATGTAAAACAGCTATAATTTCTATTCCAAGTTATTACTTTAACATCAGTTTGAGCACATTAATAATAGCCCCAGAGTACCCAAAATGTGTCACTGTCTCATTAAGGAAAAGAAATTATAAAGCACTTCCCATGGTGTAATTTAACCAAGAGTAAGCCCAGATTTGAATTATCTACTTCGTTCTCCTTTTGTCTTCTGTCATTCTTTTCTTTCTGTCATATGTCTAACTTTTGAATCTCTTTCTGTCTGTGTGTTTGCCCTGTATATGTCTGTCCGTCTGTGCCCCTAACAAAGAGAGTTTGCTGTGTGTCAATTGAATGGCATGGAAAGCATCACATGGTGGGACTCTTAACAGAAATCTTTAATAGAGTTTCACAAGGGACTAAGTCACTGGCTCCATCTGACCCCAATTGACCCAGACAGCAAACAAACAAAGGCTACCAAGCAATGTCTGCAGGTTGTCTTCAGCATTTATGGCTGATATTCATTTTGTGAGGTTGCTTTCAGCTTATTTGCTATTTCCAGCATTTATTACCATAACAAACCTACGTATATGGATTACTCTTGGGAGCATGGAAGAGAAGACAATTTCAGATCAAGCTATGAGTTAGTTTAGGTGTAAAAGTTGATTATATGGGAAATCCACAGCAAGTAAGGTTGGTTGTTACATTGCTTTCTTAGAAGCAGGGTACACAGGAGGATATCAGTCCTAAATGACCTCAAGGTATATTAGTAATGCTGACTCTAAGTCTCAGTAAAAGTTCAAGTCTCTCTGAATGAAATAGATATTTTCATAATATTATAGCACCACTGTTTTGTCAAAGATTGTAACATCAATGGATAAGATGCCCATACAATGCATTTTCTGTGTACAAGGGACATTTCTGATGGGATGACAAAGCAACCTTGCTGGTTGATCAGATGGAGGCTGGTGAGCAATTATAGCCCATAGCCTTGAGATGCTAAGGGAGATGGCATCTAATACCATAGTATGGTATTTTTCTGAATTCGAATGAAGTATTCATATTTAGGCACTGCCAGTGTATTTATGGATTCAGTTGCTATGTTTGAAAAGCACTGAGCAGCCTCAAGTCATAATTTCCTTTGTTTCTTATGGATATCTGTGACCATTGATAAACACTAACACCAATGGTTCAGGCTCTGAGTCAGCTGTTACCTCTACATGTCACAGCATTTTGGGTTGACTGTGATCCAGACTGCTCTTCATTACACATGTCTCTAAAGGTATAACTTGGTGTATTTTCTTGAGTGTAAACTGGGGTGCAGTGCCATGTGGTCAGATATGTGACTCTATGTTTTCTCCTCATAGAATGCCATAGTGTCTGTTAAGGAACTGTGTGGACTCCCTCCAATCGCCAGTCTGAAGCAGTGCCTGTTAACCCTGTCCTCTCGTCTCATCACCAGCGACAATGCTCCTTCTGTGTCTCTTGTGATGAAGGACAGCTTTCCTTACTTGGAGCCTCTGGGTGCGATGCCAGAAGTGCAGAAGAAGATGCTGGCTGCATATGACCTGGTAGGCTGTGGCTCTTGAAACTTCCCATTTCTTACCTGTGTGTATGGAAAGCCCTAAAAGCAGAGGTTCTTGGGTAGAATTCCAATGACTGGAACAGTTAGTGCCTGTAAAATGTGGCTGGAGGTGGCAGTTAGAGCTCACAATTCAGTATCCATCAAGCCCCTGTGAGACCTCTGGGGACACGGCAGATCGAGCAATCTCTGCTTTGACAAAGACTGAGTGATTTCTCCAGTCCTCAGAGCATGCCTCCTTTTCTTCTGGATGATGGCTCCTGACAGGGAGAGACTTGGCTCTCAGTGCTGCTCAGTGATGGATGAGACAAAAGGCTTGCCTGTAAGCATTTCTAAGCTAACAATGCTATCTGATTTTATTCTGACTATATAATAAAATTTATGTAGTGATTAGATTTGGGGATAACTTTATTTTTTGCGTTTCATTCTATAAACAAAATTAAAAAGCAAATGACAAAATTCGTAACATACCTAATTAGGTATAAACGAATATGTTTAATTAGAAGAGTACTTGCAAACCAGTAAGAGTAGAAAGATGTGGAAACTTCTTATGTCAACCAAGATTAAGTTCTCCCACATGATGTATGAAGTTTACAGAGAATAAATTAAAGAAAAATAAAACAATATATCTGTTAAACAGCAAACAAATTATAGCTTAAAATGCTAACTTTCATTTAGAAATTTAGACAGCAATTATCTGGGGGAATTCTTTTGCCAAGTTCTTAGGTACCCAGGTGTCCCGCGCGCTCTGTATTTCTCGCCAGCAAGAAATCATACGCAGGACACTCGGATCCTTCTGCAGACAAGCTTTAATGCATCTTGAGAGTGAAAGAGCATAAGCTTCCCAGAGCGGAGACACTGAGCCAAGAAAACCCATCCCTAATAAAGGCTGGCAACCGCCGCCTCGGACGTGTCATCCCATGATTGGCTGTAGCTCCTCCGGCCATATGACGCCACGGAATAGGCAGAGATCAAGGAATGGAAAATTACCCAGCGCCTGCGCAATAATCTTGTTTACATTTGGTGGCTGCCGGATGCAGGCGCCATCTTGTAATGGAGAATGCAGGGACGGCTCCCTACACCCAGGCACCTTCTAATTATCTGTTATTCTATTTCTAGAATGTAGTCCTTATCTTCAAGATTAAAAATGGCTGCCTACACTCTATTTGTAACATTTTCAGTCCTTTTTTAGTATATTATTATCTGGAATTATTTACAAGAAAAAAATATTACGTTTCCTTCCTCTTCATTAGCCTGAAGTTGATACATAGCCACAATTAATTGCAAAAAGCAATGTAAAATGTCATTTCAGGGGGACCAAAAGTTGTCTCTTCTGTTACTAAGAAGTAGGAGAGACCAAGGGGTAGCATAGACTCTGCTACAGAAGTCAGTAGGCAGCCCCTTTCCCCTAAAAAGCTATCAATGAAATGGACAGCACATTTAACTCTAAAATAAGTTCCCAATTAGATAAGTTAATTTATTAAACTGTGTAGGGCTGCGAAAATGCAGTCTCCCTACGTCCCCTGACCACGCCCTCGCAAGCTCGCGAGGGCGTGGTCAGGCACACCTGTAGCCAGCCCCTAAGTAGGCGTGGCTACAGCTTCTACAAAACTCAGCATGGTAGCATGCTCTTATAGTCTCAGTTACTCCAGGAGATTGAAGCGAGGCAGTTGTTTGAGCCCAAATGACCAAGACAGGTCCAGTCTTGACAAAATAACAAGATCCTGCGTCTTGAAAGTAAAGTCATGAGATATTCCCCCTTCTATTAAATCATCAGCCTTGCTCTACCCATTTAATCACAGTGCTTTTAATCAGAAATTTAAGAAGGCAGGGGGCTGAGAGATAGCTCAGTGGGCCAACTGTTTACTGTGTAAGCATGAGGACCTGAGTTTGAATAACCAGTGCCCACATAAAATGCCACCTGTGACCACACACATCTGTGACCACAGTGCTGGGGAATGGGGACAAGTGGGTCCCTGGAGAATTCAGGCCTGCCATTTAGCCCAAAGAGTGAGTATCACATTCCATAAAAGATATGCCCCCATTTAAAAATATGGTGAGCAATGTTATCCTGTAGTCCTTTCTTATATATGCAAGGATGTACACATCCTCTCTCTCTCTCTCTCTCTCTCACACACACACACACACACACACACACACACACACACACACAGGAATTTTAGAAGACCAATATTATTTCTTTGCCTACAGTGCAAAAATAAATTGCTATATACATTGTTAGAGACAAGTTACATAAAATAACTTAAAATGCTTGTTCATTGACCTTTAGATTTATGGTTAGGATTTATATATGCATAAATATTGGACTTTCATACTGTCGAGATGAAGGGATTAGCTAAGTTACAGACAGGAAGAACCCAGGAACTATAGAGATGACTTGGCAAACCAGAGCTGTTGCTGCTTTTGCAAAGGAGCCAGGTGCCATTCCCAGTTCCTCCATAGAAGCTCACATCTATTTATAACTCCAGCTCCAGGGGGTCCCACTTCCTCTTCTGGCCTCCATGGGGACCTGCACACATGTGTCATAATTCATAGTTACAGAGATAAAAATAAAACAAATTTTTAAAAGATAGGAATCCACCAAATGGACTCCTTTGAAGCTGTCAAAATTAGTTGTTTAGAGGGATAGCAATGGTGTGGTGGGTAATTCAACATGTTTTGTGAAGCAGTTTGATGGTAATAATGTATGGGCAGTGAGATTTCAATTACATTTGCATGTGTATGCACATGCAAGTAATGTATGGGCAGTGAGATTCAAGTTGCATTTGTATGCATTTGCACATACAATGCAATTTTAATTGCATTTTTATGTATATGCACATGCGAAGCACATAATGCAAGGAAGACATTAACAATGGTTACTTTTGTTTGTCATGAGTCAATTTTATTTTCTTATTTCTTCTTTTCTATGTGATTCCTGTATTTACCAAATTCTTTTTCACAAACTTGATAAATTTTATAATTGAATAAAATACCTGTCAGTAAAGAAAGTACTAATATTTTGCCATTTAAAACAAAGAGGAGAAAAGCATCTGGTATAAACATTTTCTAAATGAAATGGGAAAACCTGCAATGAGTGTGCTCTGCACACAAATGCTTGGATGGGGCCTGCCTGGGGGAGGCTCACCTATTGCCTGTGCCACATTTTTTGTGAAATCAATTTTTTCATCATAAAAGTGGAGATTGAAAGCTGTTCAGTGAATAGGTATAATTGCCATCTAAGAGGTGAAATTAGGGTACTAGTTGCCATAGAGACAGACAGTAGACATCACTTATTCCCTTGTAAGCTAAGAAAGGAAAATAATCTGTTTCGAGGGCAGCCAGCTCTGGGACCTGGCTCCGCATTGAGCAGAATGTCTCTTGGGCTGTGGTTGGGCAGCGTCTGCTCCACATCTCCAAGCGTCTGATGGTGTTTTGTCCTTTCTGTTTTAACTGATTAAGTCCAAATCTTAATATTTGCCTTTCTCTTATTTCTGTTTTTAAAACACAGCTCGTAATTGTAGGCAGAGCTGGGTCTTGACAAAATCTGAATAGTTGACGATGAAAAGCAGAAATACTTAAGTTGAGTGCAGTTACAATTCCTTGTGGAAAATGACTTCTCATTTTGGTGGGAAATTGAGTGAAAATAACCTGCTCCAAATTGCACAGCCAGTGAGCTGCAGAAGTGGTTGAGAACACTATCAATGGGTATTTCTTTTGAGGGTGCAAAGGGTGAGGAGCGAGGTGCCTACAATGCCATTGACTCTGAAAAAGGAAGCATCATTTTCACTTTGCAGGACTGTGCTGTGCTGCGGGAGTATCTTTCTGCTGTTCATTAGTGTTTGTGGTTATTTTGGAGAAGTTTCCTGAGATGTTGTAGAGACCCAGAGTAATCATGTAAAAATATGGGCTAGATCATGTCACAACACTTCATCACTTTCTGTGGTGGCTTCAGATGTAAATAAGTTGGAAAGCACTTACTGACATGTCATAGGGTGTTCTGTCATCTAATACAGCCCTGCAGCCTCACTATCCTCCTTGCTGTCCCCTAGATCAAGCTTGTTCTGGCTTCCAGGCCATTATGAATCCCACTGTATTTGTCCCTGGAAAGTTCTTTCCTTGTCTAGAAAATTGCATCCTAACTCTTAATTCTTTTCCAGTCATTTTCTGAGAGACCCTTCCCCAACTACTAACCTCCACCCCCTACTTCCCCCACCCCTCACTGTCTCTCATAGGTGTTTTCTTGGACCACCAGGCTTTCTTGGACCACCAGCCCCCAAATCATCATGTGGAGACTTATTAGTTATGATGAATGCTAGGTCTTATTTTATTCTTGTTCCACTAGCTCTTATAGCTTATTTGAATCTGTTTATCTTCATCTACATTTTGTCTCAGGATTTTTGACCTTTCTTTCATTCTGTATGTTCTACTTTTCTGCTTCTTACATGTCTGGCTGGCCCCTGGTTTGTCCCCCGACCCCCCTTTCTTTCTTTCTTTCTTTCTTTCTTTCTTTCTTTCTTTCTCTGTCTCCTAGATTCCTTTTTCTACTTATGCTTTCTGCCTGCTAACCCTGCTTATCCCTCTGTTGCCTAGATATTGGCTGTTCAGTTTTTTATTAGGCCAATAAAGTGTCTTTGGCAGGCAAGATAAAAGAAATGCAGCAAATTTTTACATACTTAAATGCAGCATAAATAAATTTAACACACCTTTATGTAGTTAAAGTAATATTCTACAACATAAACAAATGTAACACATCTTTCCATAGTTAAAGTAATATTCCACAACACACTGCACCACTCAGAAGTGTTGAATAGTAATCTATTTCATCTTTTAAAAATAATTTCCTTTATCTTCTCTTGATCCCTCAACTTGAATGTGTGCTCCGTGAGGTTGGAGACCATGTTTGCTTCACACTGTTCTCTTTAAAACAGTGTTAGCATGCAATATGTTACAATCAATTTTTGTTGATTAAACAAGATCTTCAAGCAT